AATGCTGCTCAGCTTGCAAACTCTGCTCACCGCCTGAGGCTTGGCAAGCCTCTCCCCCAGGGAAGGGGATTTGGCATCTGCCTCCAGGCAAAAGGCACCGGCAGGGGGTTTCAATGCATTTTGAGGGGCTGTTTTGCATCAGGAGACAGGCCCAGCCCCAGGCTTCCCAAGAGAGCCAGGCTGTGCCTCCCTGATGTCCACCCCTGGTCCCCTGCTTTGCAGCCCCCTGCTATCCACGAGCCAGCATCCCACCACGGGGCAGGGCACCCTGCCCCTCCTCTCCCCCACCATAAGCAGCTACCAGCCCTGTGGGAGTCACAGCACTGCTCGCAGACCCATCTTCCCAGTGATTTCCCCAGCCCAGCTCACCCTCACCAAAAGGTGACGGGGTTAGATGTGACCCTGCCACCCCCTCCGTGGAGACAGGGCTCAGCCCCAGTCAGAGCTCCCTGGCTCTCGCTGGGACTTTCCCCAAGGGACCAGATCAGGCTCCGTCGTCCCAACATCTCCATCTTCCTCCTCCTCACCAGCTGCCCTGCTGCGGGCCGGCGGCTGGGGAACGTGCTGACGGAGGGAGATTTCGGCTCCGGCGCGTCAGTCAGGCTTAGGGGCCCGCCGAGTGGCGCGGGGGGGCCGTGGGGGCAGGCTGCTGGGCACACCACCGCACCCACATTGCCATCTAGCCTCCTGCCCTGGGATGTGCAGCTCGCCGCCCTCACCCCTGCCCGACCGAGAGATGCTCGCTTTAGACCGATGTCCGGCCTCAGGCTGCGTCGACCCCAGCTTGGCAGGGGTTTTGGCCATCTCCCCCTCCTCCCAGCCCCCCCGAGTCACTAGCTGCCTCCCCCCAGCTCTGCAGTTCATCCACGCTGCTGGCACAGGGCCACGAGACGGGGCCGCCTGTCTCCCAGCCTCGGTCTCCAAGCAGATGGAAGACATCAGCTCCCCGCTGCATCCCTCCACGATAATCTGTCTCGCTCGTTTCCTTTCGGGGACACCTCTTCTCACGGCCAGCTAATCCCCAGTGCTCGCCTGTCTCTTTCCAGACCCTGGCCCTCACCAGAGAGCCCCGTTTTATGTCTTTTCCGGGCAATCACCTCCCCAAAAGCCATCTGTCCCTGCCCATGTAGGATGCTCTGAAAAAAGACCCCTCTCCCCCAACTCCCACGGAAGAATGTCTGGGCATGAAGACACCGCCATCGCCAGGGGAACAGGCACCCTCTCGGGAGCTTCATTTGACGCAAATCCCATATCCAAACACACGGGAACAGACACTAACCCAGAGACCCAGTCAGAGCTGGCTAGGGAGGCACATTTGTAACGGGGCAAGAAGACCCTGGGAGGACTCTGCCTTTGGCTTCCCCCTTCCCTCTGCAGTGGGTGGCAGCTCCCCCAGAGGTTGCACAGGAGATGAGAGAATTCCTCCTAAGCACCATCTCACGCTGGGAAATGTTCCCATTTACCATCTAAAATCATGTTAATGGCAGAATAATAAACAAAAATAAGGAGAAGGGGAGAGAATGACCTTGTGGCAGCAGCTGAGGTAGTTGGTGTTTTAGTTTTTCTTCCCTCCTCTGAGGGAACCATCCCACCAGTCTGCAGCCATCCTTCACGAAAAGGACCTGCAAGAACTGCTACCCACAGAGCAAATCACATCTGATTCCTCAGCGGGATGAATGCACAAGGAAAAGACTCTCATTTGGGGAGAGCTCAGCCGCAGGTGGTTCCCAAAGAAGGATGTTGCAAGCCAGAGCCCAGGAAACCCAGCAGTCGCTCCCGAGACACCACTGCCTCACTGCTTAAAAGGCTCTAGGCACATCCAGAGCAGAACAGGGGCCAGCGTGGAAGCTGAGAACCAGCAGGTACCGTCCCTTGTGCCGAAACAAAAGACCTGGAATAAGGGGCCTGCTCGAAGGAAAAGAGAGAGCCCAGAGAACCGACGTCAGCCTGGGCCGCTGGCAGGACGCCATCCATCCGCTCCTGCCCGTGCGGGCTCTGCCGCCGGCCGGAGCAGCGCTGGGGCAGCAGGACCCAACCGTCCCGCAGCCACGGCGGGGCCGAATTCGGGGGGACGGGTGGGAGCCAGCTAAGGGCTCATCCACGAGCCGGGCCCTTTCTCCTCGGAGAGATGCTGCTACAGGCAGCGCCTGGAATCTGCCAAGCAGAGAGCTGTCACAGCCAGCCGGGAATTTCTGCCGAGGCCACGTTCTTCGTTAGGGAAAGACAGGTAAAAACTGCAGGAGACGCTCTACGGGATATGCTTAGCTTAGCTGTCTGCATGTCTACTTATTAAGCTCCGAGGTTAAGGATTTAGTTCCACATATCAGTTTACTTAGAAATGAAGCATCGCTTCACATTTTAATCTCAAGTATGCTGCATTGTCTTGCCCGCTTCCTCTCGTGACCTCTCCCCATGACCTCTTCCCCAGCAAAATGCTGGAAAGTTATTAGCAAATATTCTGTGAAATATTTAATATCCAAACAGCGGGGTCTGTTCATCCCATGAGAGACTCATAGCCCTTATGGTCAGGACAATCAAAACAAGGATTGTTTGCAGGCCCCCAGGTCCTACTGGGAGACACTTCAAGGCTGGAGTTGTTGCCAAGCAAAAACCTCACAGTAAAGCAGCCCGTTAGGTGAGTTATCAACCAGGCTAGCTGGGACTGAGGTATTCCAGCTTGGGATGGACCCCACTTCCACTGGGCCCACAGCCTTTGCACAGAAACTAAATACCCCATATAAGTGACATTTGAAAGTATATATTCTGGCCCTGTGTTAGGGGAAGCCATCTTCCTCTTCTGTTCTCAAAAGGACTTAGACCGAGGAAGTCTGAGCTCCTTCTGTCTGCAGGATGGGCATGACAGGCATATCAACTGGCTTACGATTTGCTTATGAAAAAAACCTATAAAAGTATTTGTTTGTTCATCAGGGCTGGGGGACTTTCAAAGGCTGTGGAAGGTTTTCGAAAGGAAGAGTGCAGAGCTGTTAAATGGCACAAACACTTTCCCGAAATACACATAAAAACATACACTTTTTTTTTTTTTTTTTTTTTTACTTTAAATACTTCAGTGATGAGCTTTGAAAAATCTAACAACCACACCTAAACTGGGCTGTGAAGATCCATCTCCTAATGGCAGGGCACAGTGCTGACGTTCCCACCCCTTAGCCAAACTCAGAAAGATTCAGCACCCTGCAGCCCTGTACAAAGCCTCCCTGGTGCCAGGATCGGACCTGCGCACCCGGCACTCGCTAAAGCCTCTTGACCTTGAGCAGAGTCTAGACAGTCTCACATCCCCAGCCTGATTCTGCTCCTGAAGGCAGGGCAGGATGCCTCCCCGCCACCCTGCTCCCTGCACCCGCAGGGCAGGCACCGAGCATTGCCGAAGGGCTGGGGAAGCTGCTCATAGAACAGTGCTTATCCTCAAAAAAAAAAAAAAGAGCCTCGGGTGCATCCCACACTGATCCGGGAACAAACTCAACCAGGGGGAAAACAGGCGGTGGGCAATGCCCGAGCAGTCAGGCCATGCTGTGCGCCTGTGACGTGGAAGCAAACCCCACCTGGGGGAGGAAGGCCAGTCACCCTCATGGCTGTGACCAGCGTGCACAACTCGTTCACCCAACTGCTTAGCAAAATGGCATAAACATCACCCTCGAGCACGGAAAATTCCTACTGCATTTGCACGGACTGGAAAGACTTAACAGCAGCCAGGTGAGCCGCCGCTTCGCTGCTCTGCCAGCACGCAGGCACCTATGGAGCAAGCAGGCCGAGGGCTTAAGGGCAATGCCCGCGGGATTCGGGATTCAGAGCAGCAGACCCAGCATCCCCTGGTCTAGGGACAACAGCAAAAAAGGAACGTGCTGCCAGCAGCAGCCGATTCTGCTTTCCCACAGAACTGGGCAGCACATAGGCTCAAGTCCCTCCAGTTCACAGGGGAGTTTTACTAAAGAGGATAGTGCCATTACTTACAGGTTGAGACTGAATTTAAACTTAAAGTGCCATCTTGCCTGTGTTACCTGGAGTAATGGAGTGCGAGGGGATCCAGGGCTCACCTTTGCAACGGGCAATGTGGATTCCACAGTGTGGAGTACAGGGCAGATAGGTCTGCCAGGAATAACTGAAGTGTGGAATAACTCAGCACTGCAGTCTTCACGTCTCCACACAGGGGCAACACAGGGCCAAGGTAAGGAGCTTTCCCAGCACAAAAGGAGTGGAGGTGGAAGGACAAGGCACAGCCAGCCACCACTGCCACCAGACCTGCACGGAGTTGGCACAAGGGCCTGAAGCCAGCCAAACTCCTGCTGGCTGCATCCCCTGCACCCCCTTCCCCAACACTGCTGTTTCTAGGAGCGCTCTCTCCCAGTGTCCCCTTACCTGCCACACGCATCACGTCCCTCCGGTCAGCTCCCTATAAAGGCAGCTGTTTGGCTCCTGGATCACAGCTGGCCCGGAAAGCAATACAGTAGCATTTGCCCACTACTGTGCCCAAGCTTCAGAAGCTGGACAACGGCCAGTCTCAGCAACTGACATCACACACAACGTCTGACACAGTCCCAAAAAGGAATCCAAAAGGAAGCTTCTTTCTGTGGACCTTTTAATCTGAACCCAGTCCTTGCATTACTCAAACACAATTTCCTAAGGTTGATCAGGTAGAGAGCACAGGCTGCATCTCAAATCTACCCCATTCATCCCCCCTACCTCTGCTTCCCCGTCTCCAGCCCACCCTGTTCAACCTCACACCGCTGAAGCTGTAGGCCATCGTGCTCTCCCAACTCTGGTTCCTCCTAAAGACTTTTCTTAGGCAAAGACATAGAAACCAACCCTTTTCCTGAGTGTGCCCAAGGCACCAATAGCTCATTACATATCTCTCCTACTCTATTACATGTGAATCCATTTTGTAGACCCCAGTGTCATTGGGCCAGGGACTGTGCTTTGTATCTTGCTCCCGGGGAACTGGTAAAGGCAGAAATGGGGAAAAGAGAATAAGCAGTACAAAACAAGGGTTTTCACGTTCTCATTTTAATGTTTAGAGACCAAATTAACACCACCAGAGCAGTAAGGGTGAAGGACCATTTCCCAAACACACCGCAGATGTTCTGTGAAATAAATCAACCCTCTTTTGGAGAAAAACAAGGTATTCCACCATTTAAACTAGTTGTTTGTAATTTTTAAACAGAAAGAGAGAGAGACTCTTGATGAACCTCAACTTTTTCACGTTTCACCATTTTCTAGAAAAGTACCGAGGAGCAGCTACTGTATGAAAGGATATAGACAGGATTGCCAGAGATCTTTCTAAGCTTTCATACAAAGTTGCGGGCAATGGCCAGTACTTTGGAGAACTCCCCTTCTCTCTGTCGCAAGATATAGGGTATTGGTGTTTTTATTCTAGTCCCTACTGGATTTCCGTTGTCTTCTATGAGTACTACATTGTTGGAATCAAATCTAGGCATCATGTTGGGGCCAGGCATCTTGTGCCCTACAATTAATGCCTTCTTCTTTTCTCCTTTGATAGCCAGAAGGATCGTATCTCCCACTTTGCCAACTCCGGTCTTGTTATACACATGGATACATTTTGGTGGCCGGTGGTACGGCGTGTTCCCCAAGGTGCTGTTGTCCACCACTCGCACACGGGTGAGCTTCTGTATTGCTCGGCGTGCTCCGGTGATACTAGCAAAAGACGGGAAAAAAATGACAGATAGATCTCCTCAATAATCCTTGGGGAGCAAGGGCAAACCCAGCACAGGATCCTGTCATTACACAAACCGCTTGGAAAGCGCCAGCAATAAATACATACCATATGGGTGACACACTGACGGCAGTCAGTGTGCCCTTTGAAAGCCAGATGCTACTTTGGGCTTTGCACACTCTTCACTAAAGGTCAAACATAAAATGACCGTTCTACTCTGAAACATGACTAAAAGATGGCATAAAGAGTGGCTTGCATTTACGGGGCTTTTTAGCAACTGCAGATGGTTCCATTCAACTTCAATTTAAAAGCAAAAAAGCGTGCTTGCTTCTGCTACAAACAGCCTACAGGAAACTAAGACTCAAGTCAGTCTCTTTCAATCTTGTACACAGTCACCAGCAATATGGACTTTTCTGACCAATCTCCTTTTCAGTCAGTGAGGGTTTCCCATCCTACTCCGCTCTGAGGTCCTGCTGTGGCTGTGCTAAGATGCCACCAACTAGAATCTAACAGATCATCACCTTCCCCATGTGGGAGGAACCCAGAGAGACGCAGCCTCTTCTGTATCTGTTTCCTCTGTGGGATTATCAGGATTAAAAAACAACAGAAATAAATTGCACAAAGTTGTTAGATCTGACTCTGAATATGCTTGGGAACTGCAGGAATAAACTGAGAAATATTTCAGCCTCCCTTACAGACCGGCTATTCCTTTATCCAGTAAGCTCAAATTCAAGCGATTTGTTGCTTCTCTTCAAAGGATGCCCAAACACAAACCATCAGAAAAGCAGGAAGATCCTTTCTACTGCTAAACTGCTTTGCAGTAAGGTACTAGAAAGATGTTGGCCAAACAGCTGCAGGCATGCCAAGCTGCTATCAGCTGAACTACTCAAATAGACAGCATACGGAATCAACCTAACCACCGTTCAGCTCGTTTTGCAGAGCAGAAGAGTGTACAGAAAGTACAGACCAGTGGGGACCATCAGTCCTTCTTGAAGACGAAGGACCTGTATTTGCAAAGCTGCCTAGAAGAAGAGCAAGCCATCCTCTGTGTATCAAACACTGTGTGGATGGACATCAGTTGAAGCAGACGTTTTTACATGCAGTAAGGGAAGGTTGGCTGGGTCAGTCTGCTTTAGCCTAACTGTCAGAGGTCAGGTGCTGCCTCTCAAAATCTGTTTCTCGTAGCAGAGGCTGACCCCAGCTTTCCCCTACAAGAGGACACCTCTCTTCTCTCTCAGAAGCCACTCACGTGTGCAAGCAGCCACCTTCTCCCATTACATCCCCCCTGGCAGGGACTGTGGCATACCACAAACTCTGCCTGCCCCCTGAGGCTGCACAGCAGGGAAGGCAGGAGGGAGGACGCTGCAAAGGGACAAGTGTTGTCACATGAAGGAGAAGGGGAAACCTAGGTGGGACCACATCTACAACACAGCAGTGGCAAACAACTGTAAGTGTGATTGCCCAGGTACCACTAGACAAGACTAACTGCACAGTGAGGACTTTTTCTTTCCCCTCCTTTCATTTCTGCCACAGTCTTGGAGCAAAACCCCACCACGTCCAAATCAGGCCCACCACAGAGGAAAGGTTTCCCTGTTAAGACTGTTGGACTTCACCTCCCTCTCGTTGTCAGCACAAGTATATCCTTTAAATGTCTAGTGGTCAATGCTCTCATGCAGTTCATTTACAGGCAAAGCCAGTAAGACCCATGATATATCATGATAGCTCCTGGGACTATCACACAACCTAGTTTTGAGCATTGTCTTAATCCCCTCTCTAGACCACAGTCACAGGAGTGACTCTTCTCATCCTTTAAACTGAAGCCCTGTCCCGTCAGAGAGTTATATACCAGAGATTCCCCATACCTGCGCTGAGCGTACTGTAGGATTAGGCTCTAATCTTTGTGCAAGGCATTGTAAAATATGAGGTCCATAAATTTAAGAAGCTTTACGTGCCCTGAGACTGAAACATGAACCTAAACAAAAATAACAAAATGGACACTGTTAAGGTACAAGGAAATAATTTTTCAGGTTATTTGCATTCTATATAACTGAAGTGATAAACTCTGGAACAATTTTAAACATGTAATTGGCTCTGTATCAGCAGGGGCTGGGCATTCCTTTTTTGCACTTAGCTGAGAAACACAGGCACTTTCAATTTCTGCTTGCAGACCCTTGCATTGCCCTCAAAGGCCTAAAAGCTTCCTTACACACATGCAGAGTTCAGGCCACATTCAGACTGTCAGGAACCTGCGTATCTTGTTGTGCTTGGGCTCACTTTACAACCTGTGAAGAGACAACTGTGAGGGTTTTTTTTAATTATATTATCCTTTTCAAATTAGAAATACTATATAGTATGCTTGAACAGCTTAACAGCATCTCTTTCAATCAGGAAACTCTCTCAAGAAAACAAAAGCAAAAGCAAGATTTGAAAATTACCTGAAGTGTCGTTGGATCACCGTACTGCTTAGATGGGTTAAGGATAAACTCAAGCACCTATTCAGGAGAGCCATTTGGATTCTGGTAACCTGCTCTGTATAAGAAACAAGAGAATTATGAACTGTGGAAAATGGACAGAATTACTTTTGATTCCTTTCCCTTATGTGAATCACACACTAGAGCCTCAGCACCAATTTAGACACTGCAATCCACGGCACACAGAGTGGCAGCAGCAGCCGCAGCACGCTACAACGCAAATGAACAACCCCTGCCTGAATTCAGGAGACAATATAACTTAGATGTGCATACTACAAAGCTGGATTCAGCATCACTGCATTGCAGTTTCCTGTAGGCAGAGGTAAGGGCCCTTCTGCACGCACTGTGAACCATGTAACAAAAAGCAGGTTCGAGAATTTCAGATGTGAACTAGTTTAGAGGCTGCATTGACCAGTAAAAGCTACCACAGTTACTTGCCAAAGCTGCCAACGTTACCTATAAAATCAAGCAGAAAGCCAGAGATCCTCTGCAGACTAGCATCAGAACTTCAAGAAACAATTTGCCAGACAAGGAACAAGCCAAAGCTCCACTGGAGAGCGCACGCTCCCTCTCGGCGTACACGGGGTGTTAAGCAGCCTGTGTTTAGAGACCGGAATCACACCTCTCCCAATCCCACCCTGTTAAGGCTGCCCAGATGAAACAGCTCCCCGTTACTTTACGGTGCTTGCTCAACCCAAACCGCAACACCACCTTGACTGCAGCAGAGCTGGCTTACAAGGGTAACCTCAGACTGAAGTTTACCAAACCCTCTTCTCTGCCTGCACCTGCGGCGGCTCCCCAACCTCATTCTGTCAGGCTGATGGGGACCCGCTGGCACGTGCAATCGCAAAGGCTCATCTGGACCCAGATCACTTTGCCAGACGTCGGTTCGGGAGCAATGACCCAGGCAGCTATGCTGGTAGATCCAAATGAAGGGAGAAAACAACATGGACCTAGAGCCAGGCCTCTTTCAGGCCAGCTCAGATAAAGCTAAGGCTTTCCATCTGACTGCAACTACCGCTATGTGACACTGCTTGCTCAGACCTTGGCAGGGTAACCAGCGCATGCTCCGCTTCTCTCCTTTCTAAAGTAAACATTAAAAATACATTGACCTCTTATCTCCCTTTGCCAGTTCTGATGAGCTTAAGGCCAAACTGTAGCAGTATGTTGTAAAGCCATTTTCTTTTATTTTAAAAACAAAGCTGACCTAACTTCTGTTGGGAGAAAAAAATACCTGCAGAGCCTTCCGACAGATGATGCCACAGCTGTTCTCACTACAAGCAAGTAAAGCCCAAGCTAAATTTTTGCTGTTTTTATTTTTCCCCAGTTTGTTTGCTTACTTGGGGTTGTATGTTATTTTTAGGGTTTGTGGTTACCCTACAGAGCAAACATTACCTGACAGCAATAAGAGAAGCACTGGAGATGTGCACCAAAGCTATTCTGTAGCAGCGCTCCTTGAGCAAAGCACACAATACTTGGCAAACCATTTCGCCTGTCACACAGGCAAGTGTGGAAGAGAACAGCAACAGCCAAATCCTACATTTACTTGCTAAACAAAGGCACTTTTCAGTGGGGTAGATCTCCAAACAGATTCAGAGCTTCCTTTCAGAGCCTGCCTGCACTGTCCCCTCCCTGAAACAAGGCTCCAAGAAGGCTGTGTTTTTGCCACAGCTCCTTACCTAGCTCTGTGATCCTAAAAAAAAACAAGACCCTTTGGTAATTACAGTGCTGCTGGCAATCAAGGTCCAATTACATGTACCTTGCTGCTGCTAGGATTTCTAAGCAAGTTCAACTACGTTGCCTTGCTGTAAGCCCACACTGTGCGTTGGCAGGGAGGGCAGCCTGGGTGTACTTTTTCCCCTGTGTGAAATTCAAACCCAGTGGGTAATGCTGCTCCTACTTCCTCTAGAATCGCACCGAGGCTTTGGATCCCTCTGGAAAACCCAAACAGGGAGCAGCAACAAGTCAGCCTCTCTGTTGTCTTTGATGGACACTTCTTGGGGAGTCCAGCTGCCACTGTTACCTCTGTCAGGCACGGTGGCAGGAGAGGATGTGCTTGCTCATCCTCACCACTACGTAAGACCGATGGGTCTGCTGGCTCATGGCAGTGCAGGCACAGGCGCACGCTCTGCCCACTGTCAGAGGGACAGCAACACCGGGACTAGCATAGCTAGAGGTGCTCAAGGCCACATGTCAGAGTCCCCAAATGCTGCCTAAACTCTGAACTCACTCCCCACTCCTGGGAGGGAGTCACCATTTGTTTCTGCCCTGTGGCAGCAGTGAAGGTTTGAAGTTAAAAAACTACCAGAAGCATCAATAGCGTTAAGTGGCCAAGGACTGTTTATTTTTCCAGATGACTCAGTACCCTCTTCTTTGCTAAGAATCATTCCTCGGCACATTAAGATGTGTCACAAGCTAAGAAACTTCGTATGATTGATTATTTGGTATGAAGCATCCTGTCAGGAACTGAGTAAACAAGGGGGATGCTTCCAATTAGCTGGAAGGTTCAGGGTGGAGGAAAGGGAAGAATGCACCTGTGGCACATCGTACAGCATTCAAGGGTGCAGGTGGGTTCACAAAGAGTGAATCGCACCTTCAGCTATCATAACACGCCAGCTTCCCTTCTGAAAACGAACAGCCAAGTGTTTGACTCTGTCTCCAGGTGCTCCTCAACCAGACCCAGTCCCAACTTGCTTCCTCTGCGGCTGTGAACTCGATCTCCTCTGCCCTCAGTTCTCCCCTCTGCAGAGTGGCTAATTACTAAACTGAACTCCAAACGGCACAGAAGCCACTCACTGTGTCACGCTGGGTGCTGCCACATGAGTTGGTGCCAAAGTTGAAGAGCTGCTATAGAGCAATGACAGCCACCAGCCCCAGCACCTCTCTCCTTCCCAGCGTCGATGTTGTCTCACGTCAATGGGCCTTAAAAAGGCTCTGAGGAGGCTGCACTTAGCACAGGCATGGGGAACGCACAGGACCCGAGTTTGCTTCTGAAGGTGACTCTCCCCAGGTCGTCAGTGCTCCGAGGCGTATGGGAAGAGTACCCCCATAACCCTCAAGCACAGGAAAATGTGCAGGAATTCCCAAAAAGTCTGCTGTCGGTATTGACCAACTGATACAGGATTGCACCCTCCAATGCCCTGGATGAGCAAAATACCACTGCTGCTTAGTACTTACTAATACACTCCTGACCAAGGAATTATCTTGGAAGGGACTTCTGGAGGTCATCTAGTCCAATCTCCTGCTCAAGCAGGATTAATTTCCAAGTTGTTCGTGCTAGGCAAGAGCAGTATTTAAACGGACACGTTCTAAAACAAAAGGCCCAGCACAAAGGCAACTATTGATATAACAATGGCCACGTGTAGCTGCACCAAAGCAGCAATAAAGAACCGTGCAGAGAAACCTCTCTCCCAGTTTCTACCCTGCTGCCCCTAAATTCTGGCTCTATCTCATGGTTAAAAAGACTCATTTCTTAAAACCAGAATCATATATGCTTTGCTTCTCTCTGCTCCACATACCTGTTAAAAGTTAGCACAGACATCAGACAGATTTTGGAGTAAGATTCAGAAAGGGGCAAGGAGTTTGTTAATCAAATATTCACTAAAATGACCCAATTTCTACTTCACTGAATAAGTCTGAGCATGCAATAACCTGATGCAGCAAGTACTCCCTTCTCAAGGGCCCTTCAGCCTTACCCCACTCAATGAAACAGACGGACATCAAATTCCAGCACTGCACAACAAAGAAACTCTTCATCAGTTATAAACCTCTGGAAGTTATTTGCCCACTCTACCAGTTTCAAGTGCCACACTAAAGCTACCACCTTCATCAGTTTTCCTTGAGATTAAAGAACTAACTTATATTCACCACAATCTGGAGTGGTTTTTGAATGGAGGAATTCCGGAAAATTTTATCCCAGCTAATGAAAGTGGGCCACATACAGTATTTTCATCAAATGCATGACAACGCACAGGTAGACCACCTCTGGGAGCTGATACAAAGCAAGGACATCTTCCAGATAAGGAAAACGGGATTACATACTCCCTTTGAACCAACGTCAGGGCACACAGTACCAGGAAAGGAAGCCCTGCGTGTGTCCCCCACACACATCTCCATCACCTCCCTTATGGTGGCTCTAGCATCCACGTAAATCGCAGTTTTCAGAGATCAGTTCCCTGATCCAACTCACCCCGCAGCTGCATGATGCTGGTGCAGGGGAATGTGGCAAAACTCAAGGCTGGGACTTCTCCTTTTACTGCCAACCCAGACTTACGTCATGACAGTATCTCAGGAAAAAGAGCGGGAAATTTGGACAAGACAAGAATCTCTTTCATTTCAGCAAAAATACTGATGTGCTTCACAAGCACGGTCTGCACGAATGTGCACTATTAACACAGCCATAGGAGCACTAAAAAGGTCTGCATCTGAACACTTAAGAGGCCAGAGTAATGGCTCTGACCAAGGTTTTATCAGTGACGTATATCCTAAACCAGTCGAGGTGCTGTTCTTACCCTGCCTGAATGGTAAATATACTTTTACACAGTGCCGTTACCTAGCAATCCAGTATTGCTTTCCTTTTTAATCACAAGTTTTGGAAATAACACCTGCTCCATTCAGCTATTGCTTTTCCTTCTTTCTGCTAGTAACTCATCCACACAAACAGACCCCGGGGGAAAACGAATGGACGCTGCAGAGCAAATGCTGAGGCCCACTACCCAAAGCCTGCTGTCAAACATACAAAATAAAACAGGGAAAAATATTCTTCACTTTAATAGTAGTAACCTGACCTACACAGTCAAACAGTGGGGGCCAGCATCCCCTTTATTCTTCTAAGAGACCACAAACAACATGCTCCAGGCACCACAAAGATCTGAACTGCATCTGTCATCCATCATTAAAACACAGGAAATAAATCCAAGACAATATGCGCGATGCAAATACCTAAACCCCTACTCTGCCACTGCAGGTTTATTTATAGACCGTCTGCCAGGGTGAGCTACAAGAGCCAACTGTGAACTACGGGACTCAATCCATTCACAGCTCTCCTCATAAAGGAAATGATGTGATTAAGGGCTTGTGTGTGTTAAAAATACACCAGATATTCATTACCAAGACATAATTGGTTCTACATTAATGACAGCCAGAAAGGCCAGGATTCACAAAGAGAAATTAAGTCTTTTCAAATTCTGTTTATGAATAGGATTAACTATTAAACAGGATATTTATTGATCCAAGTTACCAACAGAAACTCATTACAGGTACATCTGTTAACAATTTCAAAGCAAAACACACTAACCTCATTTTCGAAACCACAATCAGGAAAAACAGATTAAAAAAAAAAAAAAAGATGAATACCTCCAATGGAAAACTTATTGTTAACATTTTAAGTACTCAGAAGTCCCAACTCCAAGGGCAGCTATGGCTGTTATCATTCTAGTATCCAAGCACCCTAAACCATTCTATATATTCCTATTCACAGCACTGTACTAAAATAGGGAGAGATTATTCCTAGTGCACCAGCAGGAAATTAAGCTACAGAGAGGGCAACTTCCTATGTGAGGTCAAAGGAAAGGAGCAGCAGAGCAGCTACCTAACCCCAGCAGCTCTGCTCTGCTATGGTCTGTGGGGCTGGGAGTGAAACCGAGCAAGGTCCCCTCCTGTCTCTGCCTTCTGCAATTACATATGAATTCAGAAAATTGCCCTATCTCCCATAATTTAATGCTGCTATAGCCTCTCAACTGCATATTTACTACTTCTATAGGTATTGAGGTCTCAGGAACAGAACAATAAGTGGCAAGCCACAAGACCAGCAAGTTATGATCACAAACCAGATAGCAGTAACCTCCCTGGGGGGAGCTGTGGAAGGGAGGGCACAAACAAGAAGGAACAGAAGGTGAGGAGCTGTGGCTCAACCATAAAAAAAAAAAAAAAAAAAATTAGAAACCACTGACCTAGGCTAGTTGTTCACAGAACAAAGAATGACAGTGGCTCTGGGCCTTCCTGACAAAGCTATACCAGAAAAAAGATGCCTAATACAGGCAGAATCCAGGCTTAAGAGAAACCTGACCTGGAGACAAAGGCACGCTCATGCTGCAAGGCAGCACAGAGCTACCTACAGCTTTGCTGGAATAAGCCTCACTCCTCACTCAGAATCTTCCCTTAACTCTGCTTATCTCCTTCTAAATAAGACCCTCCTATGTAAGCTTGGAGAAGAGAAGGCTCGAACCAGGCAAATGAATGCAGCTTAGTTGAGCATCGGTGTCCTACTTTTAAAAGACTGACAGCCCGTCTGCTTTTACAACAAGGAGTAAGTCTTTCACACTTTTAAGAAACCTGTGATGCTGTCTTCTTGCCCAAATTGCCTCCCCTTACTCACCGGACCTCCAAAGATGTTTTTTGGAGAACAACCTGCAAAGCACAGACTAGCGCCCACACTTCCTGAGTCCCCATGACACACACCAGTAAATGCCACACTTGTCAGGGCACAGGAATTTTGGTCCAACTTTGCTGCATGACTACTCATACCCACGTAAACCTAATCCCAGCAGCACAGCCCCGCATGAATTCTGAAGCAAAGAAAGGCCCTGAAGGACGAATGGGTTGGAATAGCGTTTTCCCCCTTCCCCCATCCAGACTGCTAGGGCACAGCCTGAAGCCGGGGGGGGGGGGGGAGCAGAGGGTGCTGCCTGCCAGGAGAGGCAAGATGCTGCCGGTCACCCCATCCTGCAGGCGACAGGAAGGCTCCAGGCTCCGTCTCCCTGATGCTTTTACAGGATGCCACAACGCTCTGCCCTGCTGCGCACCGCCCAGACTCGCCCCTCGCCGCCTTCGAGGCCACCGTTTCTCAGTCTTTCTAGAGCAGCAGCCCACGCTCAGGGTTAGACGTCTCCGGGCCGGTGCACGGAACATCAGCGCGGCGCCTGCGAACGGTTCCCCGCAAGGGCCGGGCAGCAGGGCCCGTACCCGGGGGGGAAGGCAGGGCCCGGCCAGCCCGGGCGCCGCAGGGCCCAGAGGCGGGCGCGGCGGCGGCCGCACACGCACCGCGGCCCAGCTCGCACTCAGCCCCAGCGCTCGGGGTCTGAGGGGGGGCCCGGCCCCGGGGGAAAGCGAGCCGGCCCCGGGGGAGCGGCCCGGCCCGGTGGGGCAAGGCCCCCCCGCAGGCCGCCGGTCCGGCATGCCTGAGGCCTCGCGGCTCGGGGGCGGGGCGCCCGCTGCCGCACGGCTGCCCCCGCCTCTCCCGGGGCCGCCGCCGTTGCACCGCCCGCCCTCACGGAGCGCAGACCCCAAACCGCCCCCCCCCCCGCTGCGCACCTCCGAGGGGAAACGCGGACCCTGCGCCCGCAGGCCCGCGCGCAGGCGCAGCACCGCCCGCTGGCCCCGCCCAGCGCTGTGCGGCGCCGGGGCCACGCCCCCCCTCCCTGCGCTCCGCCCCGCCCCGCCCCGCCCCGCCGAGCGGTCGCCGCTCGCTCCCGTGCGCGGCGCAGCGCAGCGCGGTACCGCAGCGCCCGGCCCGGCCCGGCCCGGCCCAGCGGAGCGGCAGCCCGGGAGGAGTCAGTCCGCGCCTGACGCCGGGGTAAGCTCAGCCGCCGGCGCGGCTCCTCCAGGCCGGGTGGGCCCGGGGCCGCGGCTCGCCGCCTCGGTGCTTGCTGGGTTGCGGAGGAGGGGGGGGGGGGGCGCGGCGGCAGCGCCTCGGGCCCTCCTGAGGGAGGAGCCGGCCGGGCCCGGCGGCGCGGCCGGTGCGCGGAGCCCCGCGGCGGGGGGGGGGGGGGCGCCGCCGCCTGCCATCTTGGGGTGGAGCGGGTTGGGGGGCGCGCCTGGGTGCGGCCCGGGCATCCCCGCCGCCCACCCCGCGCTGGGGCTCCGGGGCTTCTGGGCCGCTTCCCGGGCGCCCCTCCTCTGCCGTCCCCTCGCTGGTTAACGCGGTGTCTGGCCCCTCCGGGGGTCGCTGGGCCCGTTTCTGCGGGGTGGCCCCGGCTCCTCCCTCACCTGCGAGCGCCGTCGGGAGGTGCTGAGGCCGCTTTTGTGTGGGCTCGGTCTTGGAGAGCTGCCTGCCCTCCTCCCTGCCTCTCCTCCGGGCACCGCCGTGATGGAGAGCAGTAGCGAGGTAGGAGGAGGGGTGTGCCGAGGGTGGGAACGGCAGGCGAATTTCTGAGACCGCCCTGCCTCCCGTGCCCTAGAGAACTTAGCAAAGCGCTATCAGATAGGACTTGTGCCTGTGGCCCTGTAGCCACGCAGTTCCCTTTCTGCTCTTGTCTTGATCACCAGCCCCTCCAAATCAGCAAACCGTGGTTATTCCTCCTGTCCTGGAGTGAGCTCTGTATGTAGCTACCTGCTGGAGGCATCACGCCAAAAATCTGTGACGTGGCTGCAGTCAGCCCGATGCCTGTAGCAGGTTTGATAGCTCTCAGCTGGATGGAGACCAGGTATTTTGGGAATTTGAGATTCCGAGCACCTCCCTCCCTTGTCCTTCCCTCGATGGTAGGAGTTGGAAGCAAAAGGCTGATCAGTGCATGCTCAGGGTGGCTAATTTAGTTGTGCATAGTCCACGAGGAGCCTCTCCCACCCCGTACTTGTCTGTTACTGTGGAAATACCCTGCTCCATCGTGTCGTCCTCTGGAGTAAGCAGTCATGGGAAGCCACTGGCTGCAGGGTAGGACCATCCCATTAGCAGCAGTCACAAAGCCACAGAAGGGTTGAATGGCACAGGTGCCTCTGGGATGGTCCTGCACATGCCCCACCCGGGCGTGGGACAAAGCCCTAGCAAGTGCATTGCAGGGACTGGTAACCCTCCCCTCCAAACCCGCGTGCTGTACGGTCCCTAATAGCCTTTTATTCTCTTAACGCTTCTGAGGGAGCAGAAAGCCAACCACTCAGCTCATAACTGACTCCAGGAGGACTCCGCTCAAACCAGAAATAGCAAAGCATTAAGGACGTTGCATCTAATGACTGCAATTAGCTCATATCTACATAGGAAAGGCCTTTTTCATCTCAAACCTTTTAGTGGTAGGAATACGCTGTCTTTACGGGGGAAGAAGTCCCTTCTGCAGTCTTTACCTGGATACCATAGGAGCAAGATAACCGTGAAAGAAGACGCCTTTGAGGGGGTTGGGAAGAGACTCTGGTTTGGCTCATGAGTGTGTTTTGTTGCACTAAGTTTGCTCTATTTTTGTCTGTTCCTGTCTTCAGTAACCTTGGAAGGAACTGAAGCTACTGTATTTTGTGAGGGTGTCAGTTTTCTTGTTAAGAAGGCATTGCTATGAGGTTTGCAATGCTCCATTTTCTTCCCCTTTGACCAGAGTACAGTGCAACTATCCTGAAGTGTCCTGAAGTCATGAATTGAACCAAAAAAAGTAAAAGCACTTTGCTTCTTGTTTGTGTTTTGGTTTGGTTTGGTTTTTCCCTCCAGGCTTTTAAAATATCATTGGTAGTATTTTTTGGTTTTCCTCAGCAATAACATGGGCTAGGAACTTGCTTGGGGTTTTTTGATAAATTTTTACATTAAAAAATATGTCGCCATGAAATTGCTTCATTCTGGGAACTAGGACTTTGAGAAAATACCAGGTAGTTTGAGATTTGTGATTAAAGCCTGAGAGCTGGCAGTGCTGAGGGCCTGTTTTTTGTCCATTGTTAATTATGCTTTCCTTGAGCCTGGGGAACCGGAGTACCTCGGGTCATGGGGAGCCCCGCAGCGACCTGCCTGCAGCTCCTCTGCCACCCTCCCCATCCATACCAAGGTGCAACCCCCAGCCCACCTCCTTTCTGTAAGCTCCCCATCTCCATCCTGGTGCCCGGGGTGAGGCTGTATGTTGGGGACCTGAAGGCTCCACGGGCAGCACCTCCCTCTCCCAGGAAAGGCAGCCGGGACCTGCACCATCTGACGTGAAGCCTATGCAGCTGTGGGGTGCCTGCTTCGTGCCGAAGGAGGCCCTGGGCGTAGGATACTCTGCAAGCTGTTAATTGCAGACGACACTGGTTATGGATCCTGTGGCTGATTTGCATATCAAAGCATCAGAGAGCTCCACGGTGGGTAACGGCAGCAAGGATGAGAGGGCTTTCTGGAGGCTGGGACCGAATCTTCCCTAGGGCTTTTTATGGCGCGTAGATCAGACAAGATGATGGGGATGTTTGGAAAATGGAGATTGTCTTCATGTCCTTGAATGACAGCAGAGTAAAGGCTTTTTTAATCTCGCAGCTGCTTTCCAGGGGGTGGGGAACCAAGGAGGCAGGGAGCAATCCTTGCTGGCAGTCCCTCAGGCTGCTCCTGCCCTACCTCCCTGCCAGCAAGAGCTTGCCCAGCAGCCTGCTGTGTCAAGCCTGGCAGCCCCACGCTGCCCACCAGCAGCCGTCCCCCATGGCCAGCGGCTCCTGCGGCAAGTGGCCAGTGTGCCAGCCCCGCCGCCTGTTCTCCATGCTGCCTCTCGCACGAGGAGGTAGTAGAGGCCCTTCTTGGAGCCTGAAGCAAAGGGGCAAGTTTGCTGCTGCCTGAACTGGCTCTTCAGGGTCACACGTCTTGCCTGATGGCTGAGGAGGCATTGGGGGGTGGGGTCGGGGAACAGCGAAGCCCGGAATGGGCCATGGCCTTTGGGATGCTGTGTGAGTCAGAGGAAGATTGGCCTGTGTCTGGTCTCAGCACAACTGTCTGCTGTTCCTCCAGGCTCTGGAAATGAGCCTGGGGAGCTCGGCACTTGCTTGCAGGCTGAACTGGAAATCGAAAAGCAGGTTTACGGGCAGGGAGAGAGGGAGGGAGGGAGGGAGTCCCTGTGTCCCTCTACCACTTTGATCTTTGCAAGTGTGTTGCTGGTCCTGATGCTCTCACTTGGAAGGACTGTGGTGTGGGGCAGCTGGCCTCTGAAAGTAGCTCAGTGTTCATCCTGGGAGTGCCTGCTGTCTGGAACTGCAGCCCTCCGCCTCTCTGCCATGCCCTGTGCAGCTCAGGCCCTTGGTGGGAAGGACTCCTTGTCTCACCAGCCATATGGGCAGTTGGTGTGTGCATGAACTGGCTTGAGCATGGCCTTTTCAGGGGGTACCTCTCCACCCACAGCCCTTGTCTTGTTGGCAGCTCTCTGCCTTGCTCAGGGGAGTGAGTTGGGGGGGGGGGGGCAGGCTAGAAAGTTGGTTAAAAACAAAAATTGAGGAACGAAAAAGAAACGCTCATGTGTGTACACAATCTGCAACAGCGGATGAGATTCATGAAGCTGGTGCCAAGCTTGTAGAGCAAAGGCTTGCAGTATGAAATGGCTTTTCTCTGAGCCTGCAGGCCTGCGGTTGGCACTGCCTTCTTGTTTCATGTCCTTCCAGCATGGAGCTGGGTGTCTGCCCTCTGCTCCAAATACAGATTAGCTGTAGGAAGCCTGAGACTCTCTTACTAAGTGTGAGATGCAGAACATTCTCCTCCGTGCTCCTTTGTGCAGCAGTCACTGCCCTTTGCAGGGTTATCTTTGCTTGCTCGTTATATGTTCCCTGCACATGATTGGTAAGCAGTGCTGGAAATCCTTCTGTTGTCCCCATGGCTCTTGTGTGTTGATCCTGACTGACGTTCTCCCTCTTTGCTTTTAAGTCCATTCCTCCCCATCCCTCATAAAACCGAGTGGGAATGCTTTCCCAGTAAGCCAGTTCATCTTCTTAGGCCAGGCTCTTATTTGTGGCTACATGGCTTATATGGACAAGATAGGGATTGTGCTGGCATAGCCCTCTGTATGTTTTGAGCAAGGTCTCCTGCTCTTGATGTGCTTTGGTGTAATTGTTGATGCCAGCAGCTTCTGCCCACATGGCTATTGTGCCTGGAAGAGAGAGGGGTCTTGTTTTATGCATGCTGTTTTTCCCCGGAGAAATTGGCAGTCAGTAGTATGGGTCTGGATTAAACCAAGGTTTTGAAGATTCCTGTTTGTGTTGCCAGATCTGGGAAGATGTTTGTGCTATTGCATTAAAGAAAGGGGCCAGATCTCTTAAGGGACTGTGTATTCAAAAGGCAGCACATTGCATCAGCACCAGGAGAAAGCAGTTTCAGGCAGGTTTCATGTCTGCCTGTTTTCAGTACATTCTGCAATTGCTTTTCTGAACCACCACAACCATGCTGCCTCTGAGCAGCAAGCTGAAAAACCTCCCTGCCTTTCTCCAGCCAGAAGAGCGACTGCTGCAGACCTTTGCTATCTGACCGTTGCCTGTCACTCCTTAGAAGGACTGGTATGTCCCCAGAGCTACTCTTGTGAGTCCCTGCGTTGGGTGTGCTCATCCCCACTGCATCCCTGTAGTTCTGTGTGTGGAGCAGTTGCTTGCTTTGACACCCCCTCCCCTTTCCCCTGGGGATGTTCCAGCTGGTTCCCATGGAGGTGTCTGCTCCCAGCTCAGAGCGGAGCATCGAGCTGCCACTGGCGGTGTGACCTCTGGCTCTGTCACACCAACAAGGAGGCCACGTGGTGTTGCTCGTGGGGAGGGGTTGTGCTCTCTCCTGTTGACCTGCATGGAAGAGCAGCTCTGACAGGCTCCCAGAGAGAATCCAGCTGTCTCCTGATGTGTTGCTGACATGGGTCATGGGGAGGGTACTACTCTTACAAATGCAAGAGTGCGTTTAGT